AGAAAGAAAGAAAGAAAGAAAGAAAGAAAGAAAGAAAGAAAGAAAGAAAGAAAGAAAGAAAGAAAGAAAGAAAGAAAGAAAGAAAGAAAGAAAAGAAAGAAAGGAAGGAGGGAGGGAGGGAGGGAAGGAAGAAAGAAGAGAGGGAAAAAACAAAGAAGGGAGGGAGAGAGGGAAAAAAGGAAAGAAGAAAGAGAGAAAGAGAAAGAAAACTTAAATAATGAAAAGAAAACAAATAGAACCCGTTCTAGGGGTGCCCCATGAATGTTCCCAACCAGCTTATTTGTAGGAACTGGGAATGTAGGCATGTAGGCTTGTGACACTCCCATTCCCAATGTTTTAGAATCTAGAGTAATTAGAAATTTCCCCCAAAGGTGGGAGGGGTTAGTTTTCAGGTTCCTCCATGCTCACTAGTCACTGGCTGGAGCACTGGATAGAGGGGAAGGGCTAGTGCGGGTCCTGCCTCCTCACTGCTTGGGAGACGCTCATGCTGATGCAGCAGAGGCAGAAGGCTGGCTTTGTGGCCACTGAGTACAGAGTAGAATTGGAGTAAACTGAGGACACTTTCACCCTCGCCAGAGCGGTGACTTTGGCCCTGGGAGAAGATGAGATTGCAGGGGCTTGGCCTGAGAGTGATGCCTTTTCTCTGGACTTGTCCTGTGGAACTTTTCCATGCAGATTGGTGAAGATGAGCGTCCGGACTCCACCCAGACTTCTGGAGCTGGCGGGGCGGAGCCTGCTGAGGGACCAGGCCTTGACCATGTCCACCCTGGAGGAGCTGCCCACGGAACTTTTTCCTCCCCTGTTCATGGAGGCCTTCAGCAGGAGACGCTGTGAGGCCCTGAAGCTGATGGTGCAGGCCTGGCCCTTCCGCCGCCTCCCTCTGAGGCCTCTGATAAAGATGGGTTGTCTGGAGACCTTCCAAGCTGTGCTTGATGGACTTGATGCACTGCTTACCCAGGGGGTTCGTCTCAGGTGAGGTGGCCCAGGTGGGCTGGTGGGGAGGGCCCAGGTGACCACAGAAGGACCAGATGGGTCATGAGAAGTGGGGAGGCCCAAGAAGGGATGGCGCTGGTGAGAAAGCTCAAAGAGGCCTTGGCCATTCCGCAGCTTCTCAAGGAAAGGACTGCTCACCACCCAGCGTCCATGGAGGTAACAGGAACCTCTCCTCTAGTGGCACTGAAAGGCACCACGAAAAATGAGAACTGGGCCAGGCACAGTGGCTCACAATGTAATCCCAGCACTCTGGGAGGCCAAGGCAGGCAGATCACGTAGGGTCAGGAGTTTGAGACCAACCTGTCCCAACATGATGAAACATTGACTCTACTAAAAATACAAAAATTAGCTGGGCATGGTGACAGGAGCCTGTAATCCCAGACACTTGTGAGGTTGAGGCAGGAGAATCACTGGAGCCTGGGAGGTGAAGGTTGCAGTCAGCTGAGATCACACCACTGCACTCCAGCGTGGGTGACAAAGGGAAACGTTGTCTAAAAAAAAAGGAGGAACTGGGCAGGATCCAAGGGGAAAACAGGGTGGAAAACAGTCAGAGAGAGGGAGAAGAAGCAGGGAGGGGAGCAGCTGCTATCCGGGATGTGGAGTATAAGTTCAGAAGTGAGTCCTTACATTCTCAGCCTCGCCTCTATTTTCCCACAGGCGGTGGAAGCTTCAAGTGCTGGATTTACAGGATGTCCGTGAGAACTTCTGGATGGTTTGGTCTGAAGCCATGGCCCATGGGTGCTTCCCCAATGCCATGAGGAACAGAAAACCAGTGCAGGACTGTCCCAGGATGAGAGAACAGCAGCCCTTCACTGTGTTCACAGACCTTTGGCTCCAGACCAGGACTCTGGATGAATATCTCACCTGCCTCCTCCTGTGGGTCAGAGGGAAGATTTACTACACCTGTGCTGTAAGAAGCTGAGAATTTTGGGAATGCCCTTCCACAATATCAGAAACATCCTGAAAATGGTGAACCTGGACTGTGTCCAGGAGGTGGAAGTGAATTGCAGTTGGATACTGCCCATCCTGACACAGTTTACCCCATACCTGGGCCAGATGAGGAATCTACAGAAGCTCGATCTCTCCCACGTGGACGTCTCTCACTACGTTTCCACAAAGCAGAAGGAGTTTGTTACCCAGTTCACCTCTCAGTTCCTCAAGCTGCACTACCTCCAAAAGCTTTATATGAACTCTGTTTCTTTCCTCGAAGGCCACCTGGACCAGCTGCTCAGGTGAGGGAGGGGGGTGAGCTTTCTCTGCAGACCACTGCAGAGCCTATGTTACAGTAAAAGCTAGTGGGCGTCTACTGTGAGCCAGCCCATGAGGATGTAACAGTGAAGGGGACACTAGAATGTCTACGTATTCTCCCATTCGTGGCTCTGTCCTGAAATGGGTATCACGCAACCATCCCAATAAAGGCAGAGACATCAGCTGGGGTAGAGAGGCAGCCATGCTAGGAAGCCAGCTACTGGAGGGTTCGGATCTAGTTAGGGTGCCTTTCCAAATTCTTCCTGAGGATGTGTGTCTAAGTTAAGATGATGAAAAATAGGCCAGGGATGGTGGCTCATGCCTGTAATCCTAGCACTTTGGGAGTCTGAGGCAAGAGGATAACTTGAGCCTAGGAGTTTAAGACCAGTCTAGGTAACATAGCAAGACCCCTGTCAGGAATGAATAAAAAATAAAAACAAACGAGATAATTTTTTTTCTATGAGAAGGAGTTTCACTTTAATTGTCCACGCTAGAGTGCAACTGTGACCTCTCAACTCCCTGCAACCTCCGCCTCCCGGGTTCAAGCGATTCTCCTGCCTCAGCCTCCCAAGTACCTGGGATCACAAGCGTGGGCCACTGCACCTGGCTAATTTTTATATTTTAAGTAGAGACAGGGTTTCACCATGTTGGCCAGACTATTCTCAAACTCTTGACCTCAGGTGATCCACCCGCCTTGGCCTCCCAAAGTACTGGGATTATAGGCATGAGCCACCGCGCCCAGCCAACAAGATAATTTTTAAGAAGATGATGGGAAGTAGGGAAGCGAAGTGGGCACCAAAGAGGGGGATGCTCAGCAAACCTGCACATTTCAGAATATCAGTTTTGTGCCCCACAGCTTGTTGAACACGAATGATCCCATCTCTAATTCCCTGTCGTAATGGGTTGTTTTGAGTTCCAGGTAAATTAATTACCTAGGAAATGCATGATTCTGAAACAGAGGGTCAGGGAGCAGGCACAAAGAATGGTGAAAGTGATAGATGGTTTGCTGATGATACAGGCATATCAGGGACGCGTGCAGCCTGCCCACCCCAGCTGACGTTGCAGGATCCTGTCTGAGTTTGTCCCTTCTGCCTGTGTCTCCACTGGGCTTGTGTGGCCCAGAGATGTGGTTTTCTGCCTGACAGATGAGGAAAGGGAGTTTTAGGGATTCTGTGAACTTGATCCATTCCTATAAATAATGGTGAAACGACTCAGCCTCAAATGGATCTTTCTATTTTTATTTTTTTGATACAGAGTCTCGCTCTGTCACCCAGGCTGGAGTGTAGTGGCAGGATGTCTGCTCACTGTAACCTCCATCTCCTGGGTTCAAGCAATTCTCCTGCCTCAGCCTCCCAAGTAGCTGGAATTGCAGGTGCCCACCACCACACATAGCTAATTTTTGCATTTTTAGTAGAGACAGTGTTTTGGCATGATCGCCAGACTGGTCTCAAACTCCTGACCTCAACTAATCCACCAGTCTCAGCCTCCCAAAGTTCTGAGATTACAGTTGTGAGTTACTGTGCTGGGCGTAAAATGGAATTGACCTCAGGGGCAAAGCTCTTCATCACGCAGCATCCTAAGTGTTGACCAGACAATCAGAATGACCCTGGGCTTAGGCAAAATAGTCTTTTCCCTTCACTTTGACATTCCCCACCACCCTCAACTCACCCCTACAATTCCCCAGAACTAACTTCTTGTTCTGTCTCCCCAGCTGTCTGAAGACCCCGTTAAAGATCCTCGCAATAACTAACTGTGTGCTTTTGGAATCTGACTTGAGGCATCTGTCACAGTGCCCGAGTGTCAGTCAACTAAACACCCTGGACCTGAGGGGCGTCAGACTGGCCAATGTCAGTCTTGTGCCTCTCCAAATTCTGCTAGAAAAAGTCGCAGGCACCCTTGAGTACCTGGATTTAGATGACTGTGGCATCGTAGACTCCCAAGTCAACACCATCCTGCCTGCCCTGAGCCGCTGCTTTGAGCTCACCACCTTCAGCTTCTGTGGAAATCCCATCTCCATGGCCACCCTGGAGAACCTGCTGTGCCACACAATCAGACTCAACAACTTATGCCTGGAGCTGTATCCTGCCCCGCGGGAGAGTTATGATGCTGGTGGTACTCTCTGCCGGAGCAGATTTGCCCAACTTCGGGTTGAGCTGATGGGGAGAGTGAGGGACTTAAGGCACCCCAAGAGGATCTTGTTCTCTACTGACTACTGCCCTGACTGTGGCAACAGGACATTTTATGGCCTGGACATAGATCAACGCTGCTGTTAAACACCTGCCTATTTGGGTGGCTTTCTTCTGGACACTAGGAAACTAAAACCTAGGTCTTACATAACATCCTAATGTGAGCACAGAAACCACCGTTTCAGACACCAGCTCTGAAGTGGGAAAGGAAAGGTGATCAAGCAGGGGCCGGACTTGGGGGAAATGTTGACATGGATTCAATGGGACTTTGGGGACCTGTGTCCTATAGAGTCAAAAATGGGAATGGGAATGTCTAGAGTGGAATTCAGGCTTGAGAATACATGAGGGAGTTCCTCTTCCATGGATGCTTGTAAAGAAACGGTCAGAAATAAAGGGAAACTAAATGGAAGCTGTCTGGTGCCCTCTATTATCAAGTAACCTGCTTTCCAGTTTAAGCCTCAGGAATCTTCACTTATTGATGAAAAAAAAAAGCAACGGGGGGGACTAGGTTGTCCAATCAATAAGATGCAACCCAAGAAAATCAAGGCATTTACATGAAATTTGGTTATTTTAATCAATTTCCTCCCTTTCTTATTTTTGAGACAGAGTTTCACTCTTGCCCAGGCTGTAATGTGGAGTGCAATAGCAACATCTCGGCTCACTGCAACCTCCATCTCCACGGTTTAAGAGATTCTCCTGCCTCAGCCTCCCAAGTAGCTGGGATTACAGGCCTGTGCCACCATGCCCAGCTCATTTTTTAATTTTTAGTACAGACAGGGTTTCATCACTATGTTGGTCAGGCTAGTCTCAAACTCCTGACCTCAGGTGATCCACCCAAGTCGACCTCCCAAAGTGCTGGGATTCCAGGTGTGAGCAACTGCATCCGGCTCTTTTTTTGTTTGTTTTTTAAAGGTGTCGCTCTGTCACCCGGGCTAGAGTGCGGTGGCACAATCATAGCTCACTGCAGCTTCAATCTCCTGGGTTCAAGCGATCCTCCCACCTCAGCCTCCTGAGTAGCTAGGACTACAAGCATGTGAACCACCAGGCCTAGATACTTTTTTTAGTTGAGACAAGTTCTCGCTTTGTTGCCCGGGATGATCTGGAACTCCTGAGCTCAAGTGATTCTCCTGCCTTGGCCTCCCAAAGTGCAGGGATTATAAGTGTTGGCCACCACGCTTGGTCTCCTCCAGTTCTTCACTTCTCTTTAGACATCTGTTACCTCCTTGTTAGTTTCTGTGGCTGTTCAGTGGGTTAACACACACTAGGTGGACACCCAGGGCCTGGAACATTAGTGGGCAAGAACAGTGAGCCAATCCACATGGAAAGCACCCTCTTCTCAGGGTCTTTCACTGCTCGCCAGATGCTGAGACCCTGGCCACTCCTTGTGAGTCTCCACATGGTTCCAGGAGCCTTAGTTGGTGGACGTCAGCTTCACTGCACAAGGAGCCACTCTGTTCCTGCTGCCTTGGAAGGGGATGTCCATACTGTGTATTAGCTGGAACCACTGGGAGGCACCAACCCTTGCTTGTTCCCCTGATGACTAGCAGCCCTTCTTGAATTGAACTGGTTGTAGCCAGTAAAGACAGCCACATTCCCTTTACATAAAATACTAAAACTATACAGGCATGTAACACTTTTAAATATTTCCATCTGACATTTAAAAAGTTACATCGTTTTGTGGAGCTAGGTCAGATCGAGGAGAGATTTTCTCATAACAAGCACCACCCCTCCCATCAGGAAGGGACTAGAGCAGCGTGTTTTGGAATCTCACATCATCGAAGGGTGGAGAATGATCAAGTGCCTGTGGGTGATGAGTGACCTCCCTGTGCTGAGGAAGCCTGCATAACGGCACCCAAGTGAAGGATCCTGCTGAGGATTCAGGAGCTGGTGTTGCTGTCAGGGATCTTAGCCAAGAGCCTCAGGTTCCCTGTAAAATGAGGATGGTGTTGTCCAACAGCTTATGGCAACCTGGTAGAATCCAATAAGATGGTTCATGTTTAGGGCTTGGCATGGGGCCTGGCATATAGTAAGATCAATACATCTTGATCGTTCATCTCTTCTCAGCAGAAGTCCCAGCATTTTCCACGTTTCAATCTCACCTCCTATTCCTGACAACAGGGAGGCAACAGGAACCCAAGGCATGCAGTGGGGCTCAGCTTCTTCAAGTCACCACAAATTTCATCATGATTCTTCCAAACAGCAAAGCCCCAGGAGCCAGCAGGGGGCATGGTGGGCAGTTCAGGACTCGATTCATTCCTAATGATTATAAGATCAAAATTTCCAGTCCATCAGTCTCGGCTGCCATCTGCTGGTAGATTAGATCATATGGTGTAATTTAGTGTTGCAAGGATCATATTTTATGGTATTTTTAAAATTTTACTATTATGAGCCAGGCATGGTGGCTCATGCCTGTAATCCCAGCACTTTGGGAGGCCGAGGCAGGCGGATCCCCTGAGGTCGGGAGTTCGAGACCAGCCTGACCAACATGAAGAAACCCCTTCTCTCCTTAAAATACAGAAAATTAGCCAGGCATGGTGGCACATGTCTGTAATTCCAGCTACTGGGGAGACTGAGGCAGGAGAATCCCTTGAACCTGCGAGGTGGAAGTTGTGGTGAGTTCATGCACTCATGGCCTAGGATTCAGCTCCCAAATGATGAGAAGAAAACTCGAAATACATCCACCCCGATGGACAGGCATTCAGCAGAGGCAGTGACTGGGCTCCAGGTCATAGGAGGCCCTGATGCCACAGCGAGGCAGGGGACAGTGCTGAACACAACAATCTTGGGGCTGCATAGTCCTTGGTGTCTTCATCAGCTCAGCCCCAAGTTGAGCAAATCTCCCAACAGAGAAACACCTGGGCATCATAACTCTCCAGAGGGGCAGGTACAGCTCCAGGCTCAGCTTCCTCAGCCCAACTTGGTGTGGCGCAGCAGGTTCTCCAGGGCAGCCATGGAGATAGAGTTCCCCAAGCTGAAGGGTGCTGAGCTGGGAGCAGCGGCTCAGGAGCAGGCAGGATGGCCTTTGAGTTAAGTCCGTGATCCCACAGTCTTCTAAGTCCAGAGGTCTGGGGTAAGCTCAGCATCTGTAGAACAGCGAGGAGCTTTCAGGGCTGAAATGGGTCAGTGTGATGCCCCTCCGGTCAGCTCAACCCCAGCTGATAGATGCTCCAGGCACCAGAGATGCTTTAGTCCGTCTGACAGCAGCAGTCGGTCATGACGACCATCTCAAGGGGCCTGGAGACACCTGGGGAGAGAACAAGGAGTTAGAGAGGCAGTGGGGAGGGAAGACCTCAGGTGAGAGATGACAGTCTCACAACCCAAGGCTGCTCTGCTCCTCTGAGAGGATAGTCAGCACCCGGGGTGTAGGGCGGAGACTCTGCTCCTTCCGGACAGTCCCAGTGAGGCTCAGTCCTTCACCATCACTCAGGTAGTGACTGGAGTCAAGCCCCATGAACTCTAAGGCTCCTTTCTTCATCTGTCAGGTGAAAACCCGCATCTCTGGGCCACAGGAGCACCGTGGAGACACAGACGCAAAGAACAACCCAGTGGGATCCTGCAACATCAGCTGGGGTGGCCAGGCTGCAGGAGTCCTGACACGCCTGTATCATCCAGCAAACCGTCTATCCTTTCTCCTTCTTCACTCCTGCTCCCTCACCCTCTGTTCATCATCATGTATTTCATACATTAGTTACTGACTTACTGGAACTCAAAACATTTTACTGACAGAGGGCAAGTTTTTGCCTGTTCACTAGGCAGGTGAGGACAGACCTTATATTTTTAAAATAGAGTGTGATGGGCTTTCTCTTTAGTGCCCTCCTTCTCCCTATTTCAAAATCATCTTAACTTAGACACACATCCTCAGGAGGAATTCACAATCTCACTCTCACTAGATCTGAACCCGCAGTTGCTAGCATCCTAGCATGTAGCCTCTCTATAGCATCTAGCCAGGAGATCCGCTGTATTGGGATGGTTGTGGGACACCACATTTTGGACAGGCTGCAGCAGGACAAATGCATGGACATTCCAGTGTCACTTCACTGTGACCTCGTCACAAGCTGGCTCATAGTAGACCCTGGTGTTTGCTGTAAGAAAAGGTTCTGCTGTGGACTGCACAGAAAACTCACCATCCTTCCCTCCACCTAACAAACACTTCGTCAAGTAGCCCCTTCGAGAAAGAAGACAGTGCATGGAAAGCTTCTGGAAGTAGCCCAGCTTGAGGAGCTGAGAGGTGAACTGGGTGACAAACTGCTCCTTCTTGTCTGGGGGAATGCAGGCAGAGGCGTGGATGTTGAAGAGAACAAGTTTGCGGAGTCCTCATCTGTAGCCCAGGTAAGGCAGACCTTATAAGAATGGACGCTCCCAGGGCAACTGCTTCACCTCCCGGATACAGTCTAGTTCCATATTTCAGGACCTCTATGATACTGTGGATGGGCATTCCAAAATCTGCAGCTCCTTGCAACACACATGCAATGTAGCCTTTTCTCTGCTTGCCCACGCGAAAAGCCCGGGTGAGGCATTCATCCAGCGTCCCATTCTTGAAGCAAAGGTCTAGGGTCTGCATCCAAGGGCTGCTGCCCGCAGCCCTTGGACAGTTCTCTGCTGTTTGTCTCTTACTCAAGGGCCCTCATAGGGGAAGATTACAGAAGCTCCCAGACCCATATGCCCAGAAGTTCTCATCCACATCCCGCAAGTCAGCACTTGGAAGTTTCACCGCCTGTGGGTAAAGAAGAGGCTCCGTTTACTCAGGATTTGAGCTTTTGTCCACATCCAGACATCAGTGACTCCTCACCTTCTTCTCCCCTCTCTGTCTTTTCTCCATCCCTCTTTCTCCTTGAAACCTGCCTGGTCCCCACTGCTAGTGTCTTCAATTGCCTCTAGGAGGAACCTGGTTCCTGATCCTTCAGTGGACCCTGCATGGTGAGCAGTCTTTTCCCAGAGGAGCTGGACAATGGCCAAGGCCTCTCTGAGCTTCCTCCCCAGCCGCATCAGAAGACTCTGGGCCACCCTTGAGCCTCCCAATCAGCCTGACCCTGCCAACCCTACCCTCGATGTCTGGGCCCTCCCCTGAGACAGCTGGTCACCTCACC